TCGATCCACTATCCACCAACACTTCCAACAGCATGTCTTTAATTTCCGCAGTGAACCTGATCATCTTTGGACCTCGTTTCTTGCACTTAACCATATGTAATAGCGTCTCCTTGTGTGGTTCTCCCTCTTCCTCAAATTCCAACAAAAAGACCTCCTTACCTTTGCACCTGTGGCCTGGCGTAAACTTTTCATTGCACGAATAGCAAAGGCCTTTTTCTCGCCGTCGTTGCATCTCTTTGTCGGTAAGCCTCCGTATGTTGCTCGTCGTTCGAACGGTTTCTCCCAATGGCTTGCTTTCGGCTCGCGCCGCTTGCTCCTCCGTCGTGCGCTTGGTCTCCGTGCGCAATTCGCTCGCCCTTGCCTTGCGTATCGCCACGAGATGATCTTCGTGCAACCTAGCCGACTCTATGGCTGCTCGCATCGATCCTGGCCTATCCAACCTTACTTCGGCTGCCAACTCAGCCTTTAGTCCCCCAACAAACGTTCCCACTAGAGCAGCCTCGGGCCAGTCCCGTACTCTACTAGCAATGCGCTCGAACTCTTTTTGATAATCCCTTAGACTACCCACTTGTTTGATTCTTGACAAAGCCTCGTTGTAATCGTGGTAGTCACTCGAGCCAAACCTCGTGATGAGCTCTTTTTCAAAATCTCTCCAACGCATGTGCTCACCATGGTTTTTGTGCACCACCCATTGCCACCAAACGTTTTCTTCTCCATCAAGGTGATAAGCAGCAATTTGAACTCGTTCGTACCTTGGCACATCATTGATATCAAAGAATTGCACAACTCGACTCAACCATGCATCCGGATCTGTTCCCGTGAACGTGGGCATAACAATTTGCGGTCTCGTACTTGCCCGCTCGTCCCGTGGATCGTCGCGATCGTGGTATCGGGCATGTCCCTCGTCCCGTCGTTCATCGAGTCGTCGGCCCTCGCGATGTGGCCTCCGCTCGTCGTGTGTCGCATGCAACGCGTACGACGCGTGTGATCGCTAGTCGTCGTCCTCCTCGCGCCTTCGGTCGTGATGTGCGCGTCCATCGTATCGTCGTCGGTCGTCGTGGTGGTGATCTGCGCGCGATGCGCGTGTGCCCCGCGATCGGCGATAGTCCTCGCGCTCGGTCCCGGTGCTTGTCGCCGTGGACCTTGACCCGTGATGCCTCCTTGGCCGCGTGTTCATGCGCGTTAGCTGCCCGGCCAAGTCCTGGACCATTAGTTCGATCCTTCCCAATTTCTCGTTGGTAGCATGTTGACCATCGCCGATGATCTTCATGTTGTCTTCCAACGTTTGAATCCTCTCACAGTTTGACATCATAAATCTTTTTTTTTTTTTGACTCTAAAAAAATTCGAAAATAATAGGGAAAAAATTCGAAAAATCGAACCTCCAACAATGACTCAAAAATCGAACCAAAAAGAAATTCGGCCCCTCAACAAAAGGTAATAACCGAACAAAAATCAAACAAGCGACTAACAAGATGACACTTTTTTTTTTAAGACATATGAAAATAAATTGAAAAATTCGAATAAAATTCAAAAATTTCGACCCAAAAAAGAACAAAAATTCGGCCCCTTAGCAAAAGGCAAACCGAAAAAAGAAAAAAAGATAGGATAGATAAAAACACGATCAGCACCTCTCAATGAAAGCACCAATGATGACGGATCGTGTCTTTACTTTATTCGGGTTGTGAACAAACGGCGCACTCAGGGCCTTCGTTTATCCACGATAGGTGTATCTAGCAGACGCACTCAGGGCCTTCTCCTAGACACTGTGACTTCGAGACGCTCTAACGGCCTTCTCTCCGAAACTGTATGTAAACACGCACTGACGGCTTTGTTTATCACACGTTAGAACATAAAGTTCCCCTCAAAATTAGCTCACCAATTCAATACTCCATTCAAGACATAAAATATGATGAGGTACATGGGGTATTTATAGTTGCAAAATAAATCTAAGCCTAACTCTACTAGATCTCCTAAATCTTGCAAGAATAGAAATCCTAACACTAGAAAGCAATAAAATCCTAAACCTACCAAATAACTAATGCTTGGCTTGCACACCAAGCAATTCTAGAAGCTCTCCAAAACTCCTCACATGCTCAACTCTCGGCCGCCCTAATCTCGCGCCGCCTCACCTCGCGCGTCGCACGCGCTGCCATGCGCGCCCCTAGCCCCGCGCCGAACTCCTCGCGCGCGTGCGCGCTTCCTTCCCCGCCTATGCCTACCGCGCATAGGACTCCAGCGCGCTGCCCCTGCACGCGCGCGCCATCTCGCCCTTACCGCGCCTGCCGTGTCCCGCCTGCGGGT